AGCGTTCTCTGTGTCACTCGGGCAGTTGTTTACGTGCGTGAACTCTTCTTCGTCCTTGTATTGGCCCAGCGCCATGGATCGCAGTACCCGGCCCTTCTTGAACGTATAGTCTCCAACAGAGTCGCCTCGGTCTGACACGAAATAAAACTCGTCGTCTTCGTTTGGATCGCAGCTATCGCTATCGTAGAAGACGGCATAGTACTTGGAAGATATAATATTCCAGTAGATAGTTTTCGTGAGGTGCCAGTAGGAGCAGTCACTGATCTTCATGCATTGCCAAGGCTTCGGGTTCGTGTACGTCAGGACGGATGCTTCTGCAAACTTGATGCGCATGTAGGGAATCGATAGCAGTGGAGTCGACATTTGACCAAGCGAGTGAAACGTGCTCAAAAGCACTCAAATTGGGAAATAAAGAAGCAGTTCGGTGCCACAACGTAAAAATTCCACTTCGACTAATTTTGACTGAAATTTTTATGGAGTGTTATATTCGGTAGACTGAACGTCGGGTCAGCTGGACGAGAGGCCATTAACACCGTCTGTCTTCCACTTAATTTGCTTGGTGGAGTTCGATGTCGTTCTGTTCAATTGTATTTTTCTGTGATGAATGTTGTTTAACATAGTACGACCTGAACCTCACTACGAAGACTGACTGAAGCAGAGTATCGTTCTGAGATACTCTGTAATAGCACGAGACAACGCAATGATGGAGGGGTCTATGACTCCACTAAATCGCCTCCACGATACCTTTTCTGGACCACCCGAGGCCATCATGGTTGTAGCGAACGTCGTGTTTTCAATGCGGATGATGATATTGTGATCGCATGCACCGGTCACTATTCACGATTCGGCAACTAGCCCGACAGTTACCTTGTCACACAACACATAACGTAGAATTTCATAACCCAGTATTTATTACTGCAGCGTACTGATTGCTACATAATTTCTTTGCAATTGTGTTCACTTCTATCTCTCACCTTTAAAAAAATCACGCGTAATCAGCGTAATGATTCGGAATCATCAAGTAGAGCTGTAGAAAATCAAAGGTTTCTTGACACTTTTTTCCCCTCTCAACAGAACCAGTGGAATGGATATTTAGCATACCTAGATGTTGCTGCAAATAAGGAGAAAATCAGCAAGTAAGCTTAATTATATCATGCCTGAAATTCAACGCGACAAGTTCAGTGTAGAGCTCAAACGAAAGTTGACTGCCTGCAAAGCCGTTAACTAAAAAAAGAAGCTAATCACGAATAAACCGAGCTGTTCCTGAGCATTTGCTGCCGAGCGCTGCAGTTGTCGTTCACTCTGGAAGACGGGTAGTCCAGTTCGACGACAGACCTCCGTTAGTGGTATCGTCGTCACTCCACAGACCCGATGAGTTCGCAGCCATCTCAACGTCTTCATTGTTGGTAGCTCCATCATATGTTGAATTTTCGTAATCGGTGTCGATAAGACGGCAATGAGGATCATAGTAGATAATCCTAGGTCTGCGCGTGTAGTTTTTGTTAAACCCGATCATCATGGACCGGATTGCCATTGGTGTCTCAAACGCATGACTACCCCAGATATCTCCCTGTTTTGTGTAGTAGACACGAGTTTTGGGTTTTCCCCCAGCGTAGCATGTTGTGGACTCATGGAACGCGGCGAAAGCGTTTTCAGGAAGACGTGCCCAATAGACTCCAGTGGCCGGTTTCCACCAGTTGCAGCCGTAGAACTTCAAGCACTTCCAGCCGGCAGTAAACTCGACGTGAAGACCATTCGTCGACGGAATATTCACGTTTAGTGCCATTCTGCCCGCTGCAATGAGCGCGAATTTGGAAATGACAAACATGAGCCGTGGCTTCATTGGGTGAATTACCGACTTGTATTGAAAATACTAAGGCACAAGAACCACAACATAAAAATCATGTTGTCAGTAGATTGTGGAGGAGAGTGGAAGTTGCAGAACGTTCAGAATTTTAACGGCCTAAATCTGTTGGATGGTGATAATAGATATATCCGCGTTTCATACGAAGTGTTAAAACGCGCCTTTATGCAGACCTTTTTGCGGATGGGAGAAACCAGTGTTGTCGTTTACAAGACCTGTGTTGCTTGATTCCAATTTTTTCTAAGGTATTAATTTTGTTAGATCTCTGATAGCTTTGGTCACGCCGCTCGGTAAATACAACATGGGGGAAACTTGACTGGCCTGTAATTCCTTCAGCACCATGCGCACCACGAAGGGTAAAAAGCAGTACGTTCATCATACAACTAGCACGTAATGAGTTCTCTGGATCTTATATCCAGCGTATCTACAGAGGTGCGGGTTCTGCCTAAAAACTTCTATACACATATTCTCAATGCTAAGAAAATGTCTATTCTAAGGCACACTAAGCATATTGTACTGCGTTACTTAATGCAATTGTTATATCAGAGCGGCAGCTGGCTGTTAAAGCAAAAAGTGGTTCCAACTAGATTGAGAGGTTAGGAATGTAATTGAGGATCTTTGGCACCATAGAAAATGGTTTGAGCGGCTCTATATATACTTATTTATGAAACATGGTTGTCACAATAAGTGGTGCGGCTACATCGTATAACAGTTTCGCACCGCAATGAAAACAACTGGAAATTGGGTTGGTAGCGCTGCAGGTGCTCACTGGCAGAAGTCCCAGTGCAGTAAAGAAGACTGGGTCTCTAGATCTCTAAAGAAACAACGTAAGTTGGAACTTGTCACGTAATGTAAGAAGAAGCAAACACCTTTGGACATGCTCACGGTTTAGATTCGAAACGAATCATTGTTGACCACAAGTTGGGGGAGGGAAAAGCCGCGCACTCGAACGCTAGGTTGGGTCGGTATTAATAAAAGACTTTTAAAGTAACGCCATAATGCTTTAAATTTCACCCATACTTTGTAGCCATTTTTGAAAATCTATAAACACCGCCTGGTAGAAGCAAGTGAGCACGTGGTGTATCCAGTAGATGCGACCCCCGACATGCTAGCACATTAAAACCTATGCGAGTACCGACAATATGAGGCTGTCACTTATCGTCTAGTCATTTCCTAGTTTAACAGGTATAGATCTACAACATCGACAGATGGATGGTAGGTCAAAGGGGGGTTTCTGCGTGAAGCCCTCCTCCTCGTGCATGGCACATATATGTATATTATTTAGTGTACTTTTGAATTTCCTCACTACCGCACACGTTCCTTCCTCGTTTTTCGTTTTCACATTAAATTCGAAGCGCAGAGCAATTAAGTTATGAGCCCAAAGATGAGTGCAGTTTGAATAGTGTTCTCTATTCTATTACGACGACGACGACATGGCAGCAAACCACCGCTCTTCGAGGGAAGGGCGGTGGATGCGTTTGGCATTCCTTTGGAGATTTACCATTTCCGCCAATGGATAGCCGCTACGGTGTACCAAAAAGCTCTAAACTTTATCCGCGTTAAATAATAAAACCTTGCGGTTTAAAAAAAAAAATCTTGGCTGGATCACAGCTCCTAAGATGCAATGAACGAATAGGATGCATACAAAATTCGATTCTCATTCAACTGATCATCCAGGTAACAGATGAAGAACTTCGCTACGTGAAACAGTATAGAATTGCAGCACTACATAAATCAATTGAAGCACAAACGACCATTTATTATTCGCCAATTCAATTGACACAGTTGTCCCAATAGTGGACATTAACAAATTACTCCAGCCTGATGACTGGGAAATTGTTTTTTGTTAATCTGTCATACTAGACCAGTTGGCGATGCTTTAAAAACTTCGTACGTATCTTTCTTTACCAACATCTTTGCTTCGGCCCCATTCGCTAACTCTACGGACCGCCAGCCCCAGCATAATTGCCTGAGTTCGCAGACGTGTCAGGAAGAACATCACTCCAGTTGCTGAAAGCCCACCATCAAATGTTTCGTTGACTAGTTTGATGTCGTCGGTAGTGTTGGACACGGTCGTATTTGTATCCAAAACCGCGCTGTCAAACCTATGTTCCAAGTGACAGTGGTGAGAGATCTTCGTGGCTTTCATCACCTCTTGCAGCAAGGCGTCTTCGTTGTGTCCCAACATCACCGATCGAATTCGCTTCGGCCCGTCCTCAAAATAGTACATCCCAGTTTCTTGCTCCCGAGTCGATCCAGTGTTGAAAGTGTAGTAACCGTGCTTGTAAGTTCAGTCCGTCGTCTCGTAAAACGCAGCCACTTTATGTAGCGGTAGATGCCACCACCCCACGAAGACGGCTAGAGACAAGTCAGAGCACGTAAATGAACGGCAGACATAGTCAGAGGGATTAGCCCATTCGTCGTGCAGCCCAGATTGGAAAAGCACGTCGAGTTGAACAACGCTGTCTGGTATTGCCATAGCTGTATCAACCTCAAGCGTGTGCCTGCCAGGGTTGGTGAGAGATGAATAGTGGCCCAAGCTACAAACGGTTCACATGTTTCCTTATTTTTTTTTAAATCCTAGGCCAAGTTACAATGGATGCTATGTATCCAATATACCATCTAACATTGCTTCACCAAGCCGATTAGCAGCTAGTTTAGCTAGCGAGGATCCATAAATCGTCTAAAATCTTTTACTCGCTTTCAGTCATTCGAAAATATTGGCTGAATTTTTATCTCGTACATACCAGTCAGTGGACTGCAAACTTAAGGCCGAATCACTGCAAACTGATGAAAGCCCAGTATTCCCGAGCTCTTGACGCAATAATGCAGTGCTAGCTCGCCCACGAAATGTTATATTATAAACGGCTCATTCTTCACCACCGTCCGAATCCACTGCCTTCGTATTCAAACAAGTTGAACTCGTCGAAACTAACACCTCTCCATTCGGTTCTCCTGCAAGTACTCGTCATTCTTTCTTATTCAACAGTGTTTTTAGCGTTGTCAGAAATGAACGCATTTTCTATACCTTGGTAGTGCAGGTTTCGCCAAAACATGAAACGGGTTGTGGCCGCATTTACTAGTAATACTTGCCTCAATTACGGTAATAGATCCTTATATGAACGGTACGAATTGAAGAAGAGTATTTTCCTGTGGGCCAATATATTAATTATCGTCACCTAAATTGGATCGTTTATTGGATGGCACTTTGTACTACTTCACTGCCATCCGGAGTAACTACCATCTATTGTGTTTGGTTCTGCGCCGGCCGAAGATTGCGGGAGGACATGTTATTTAGAAACGACCGGCGTCACTCTGGTACGACAGGAAGTGGCATCAAATGAACACTTTGGGTCATTTCTCAATCGACACGCATCCGATCAAATGCCAATCTTGCCAAGGCTAACTATTCTTTTCCAGAATGGGCTCCATGATGAATGGCTCAATCCCTCCGACTATGTCTGTCGCTCCTACGACTGTCCCAACATGCCTCAAGCCATTTTCGTTGGCTGGTGGAATGTCCCAGTAAATAAGGTCGTCGCGTTTTACGAGACAACGGATTGCACCTACAAGCATGGCCATTTTACCTTCAATACGGGATCTACTCGAAGCCGAGTAACTGGGATGCACTACTTTGAGGATGGGCCGAAGCGAATTCGATCCCTGATGTTGGGACGCAACGAAGACGCCTTACTGCAAGAGGCGATGAAAGCCACTACGGTCTCCCGCTCCTGCAAGCTGCACGATTGGTATGACAGCGCATCTTTGGATGCAAACATGACTCTGGCTAACTCGACGTCGGTCTTCGAATGGGCTGGTGGCGCTGGTGGGCTTTCAGCAAACTGGACCGATGTTCTTCCTGATATATCTTCCCAATCGAGTGATTCTCTTGGGGCTGGTGACAACGCAGGAGCCAACCCGTAGAACTGGTAGACTATGGTGGAGACAAACGTTTAAAACAGAGTCAAAGTTTTAGTTTTAGATACTACTGCTTTCGTAGTATTAGCTGCATTATAAACATTTCAGGTATCCCACAGCTCAAAGTATATTCGTTATTCTTCGCTTCGGTTGGAGTAGTCAATCGTGTTAAGCTTATCAATAATGTACGTTAACTAGCATATTTAGTTATCGATCGCTGATCGTTTGTAAAATAATCCTAAACCCTGTAGGTTTTCTCATCGGCATATGCGACGATCCAAACTGGTCAAGCTAGTACCATCTCGCTTGAATTTCACCCTCGAAAGGCTCAAACGTCTAAAGGAATACATTGTATATCTGTCCAACGCGGCAGAGTGAATGAACGAGCTAACAAGTCTCTGGATAAGCATTAAAAGGGTTTCGGTTCTCCGTCAATCAATAAAAGAGTATTTAGCAATTACTGAACTTTTCTTGCACTTCGAAGTATATATACTCTACAAGCAAAGGTTTGCAAGCCACACCGGCATAGCCCTTGTTCAGCAGAAAATGGAAAATTGTACATGTACTTCGAAGTGATTCGTACTGACATATGGCGTTTAGTATCCTTGCCAGCCAGTACAGAAGTTTGAAAATTGAAAATGGCGATTTTTCTGTTCTAACGTTTAACTCACAACTACGCAGTAGCTGTGTGAAAGGTGAGCGCTTAGAATACTGTCACAAACAACGCACAGGCCCCTTGTCAACAAATAACCCTACACGACCACTTTGTAATACGTTTAAGGCGAATACGATACCCAAACAGCCAGCACAGACTACATTATGAATCATACATTATGATTTCCACAATGAAAAGGGTCACACGGAAGGTTGCGAATACGCCTAAAGTTTTTTTTACGGCCGATAAAGCAACAGAACCTTGCTTGCAATTTATTAATTTTGTATCTGATTGGTTGATATTAATAGCCTATAGGAATGAGCGGTATAGTATTACTACGAATTACTATGCAGTATAGTAATTAATACATATGCAGATGTAGGGCGGCTGTGGAAGCTTCGAGAAGCTTCCATCCGCCTGGACTGCGGGGGCGGCACTTATACTTTAGCGCGCACTCCCCCAAAGCATCCTCTGTCAAGATATAATTTTAGGTCGGGTGAGACATGGAATTAATCATTGTAATTATAAAATCGAATGTACTTAATGAGTATTGCTTTTTCTGGAACTTAATAACCTACCCAGTTCAAGAATGAGGAGCTCTCTAAATTTGTCTTACCTTGGACGATAGGTTAGCTTTTAGCGTAAGACGCTGACGACCCGATGCAGTAATGTACGGATACTGGATGCATTTGTCTAGCTTGGTGAACCGTGAGTGAACCAATCACTGGGCAGGAGAATAACTGGTCGATGTGGTAAGCCTGAGCGCACAAAACCTCTTCGCCATCTCAATATGAGGACAGTTTTTCTTAATGACAGCTTCACTGGTACAGGTCGCTACCGCATTTCACTGTAGCAGGAAAAGTCGAGGCATTATCGAAGTGGAAAAGCGGCAAGACCAAAGTTAAAATGTGTGTATGTGTGTGTTTTATCCAATATGCAGAGGTGTACCAATTTTCTAGAACAAAATATGATTTTCTTCTATCTTTTGTACCAATTTGGACTAGATAAGTAGTATTTACAATGCCTACGTGCATTCTTTTTTCTCTCACGTCTGGGCGAGCGGCAAAATGTATGGTAAGGTTTGGCCCACTAAAAAAGCACTTCCGATGAGAAACATGATAGTGCGTCGAATCAACGGCGCTATCCGCCGTCTCGACCGGAGCCAAGTTGAGAATTCGCTGACCCCCCCCCCCCGGACGGCAGCGAAGGGGTCACGTTCGAGCTGTGCGATGCGACCCAGGCCGACTGGAACCAGTCCGAGCAGTAGTGGTTCCACATCGTTTTGTCTGAGGCGGGTTTTACACGCTGAAAGTGGAGGTTGGGATTTGCCAAACGTGGCAGTTTAGACTTCAAGGCTAATGCGTGGCGACAATGTCCAGGCGTGCAATACGTTCTCTGCATCACATATCCCTTGGATTCCATCGTACATGGGCCGTTTGAAGCCCACGACTATCGACAACAACACCGTCTTGGAGTTTGACACTTGGCGCCCGTCGGTAGCCATGCATCCCTGGCAGCAACAGCAGATTTGTTTTTCTGTTATGCTCGCCGTCTAGTTATTTGATGAATGCTGGGGTGGCACTGGTGGTCTGGGGGTGTTCATTCAGATTGTCTACGGTAAACAAAGAGTAGGCAATCTACCCTTTGGCGTCAGCTGTGTCAGCAGGCTGGAAATCTGCGGCGCGCACCAAAGTGGAACGTCCACTGCAAGATGTGCCCAAGGACTTGGCGGGATGGCAAGCACCAGCGAATGTCCGCCAGCCATCACTAGCACTAGGTCTTTAGCAAGAAGCCCAGCTAAAAAAAACACGAATACACTCAGTCCCAATTTTACCTACAACTACAATAATCACCACAGCTACTGGTGACAAGCTTGTTGGGTTTGCTGCAATAAGCGACGAACATTTCACTGTAGTCTACAGTGACTTCTAAGGCAACACAAGGCGACAAATGTCGGGTTGTACAAGAATGTTGAAGTTCACACTGATAACGCATCAGCCTCGGGCCATCAAAGGAGATTCAATGAGCAGCAACGTGGGGCTTCCAAGAGTGTCGTTTTGGGTACATGTAAGGGAGTGCAGGTTCATGACGATTGCACCAAGTTCCTGTTTTTGGTTCTTAAGCTAAGCCCTACATCAATCCCTTTTCGACTTTCCTTCTCGGTCTCACTTCACCTTCTTCACTTCGTCCTCTTCGACGCCTACTTCCTCTACAACACCTTTCCAACATGTTATGATGTCAACGACAACGGCTTCGAACTTCACGACGAAACTGAAGCAGTTCAGTGGAACCGGGTTCCCCAGCGTGGTGTGCTCAGGTGAAGCTAGTTCGTGAGATCAAGGGATTATGGGATGTAATTCAATTGCCCAGACCCACCGACCTCGATCTTAAGGCTAAACGAGATGCTGCGGTTGCAGCAGGAGCTGGAACGTCATCGACGTCGGGGACGCCATTGCCGTCTGGGACGGTGTCTGCTGCGGTGTCGACTACACAGCTGCTCGACTGCTTAATGAAGCAGAAAATGGCCTCAACCATCATTCTCGCAGCACTGCGTGAGAAATTGGCTGCTGAGGTTTATCTACTCG